ATAACCGACTTTCTACTCACTTTATTACCTGTGTCCTTTTAATTAATAATTAATTAGTTAAAGAAAGAAAAAAAGATGTAAAGAATCTAATCATCAATTAAAGCCATTTGTAGAGAAATTATCAACTTACTGTTTCAATATATTCTGGACGAGGATAATATACAATTGGTAATTCCATTTCTTTTATATGTAAAAATTTTTTACTATTACTTAATATTAATTATGTGCGACTTGATTGTGAAAACTCTTACCACACCGCCCCAGTACACCAAAAACCCCGTTCTGTTTTGATTGGGTAGAATATGATTATCTCACACTTATACTAAAAGAGAGTTAAAGGGATTTTAAGTGTATATACCCCAGGAGCATGGTTGAAATCCTTTTATGGATAGATCAGCTAAATAAACAATGCCGAATATTAATAGATAGAATGCGGCAACAGAAGTCATTAAACGCTTGTTTATGTTTAAACAAGGAGAGGGTAAATTGATAGCAGTTCGTCGATTGATACAAGAAGGCTTAAAACCACCTGCATTGGTGTTTGTTCAATCAATTGGACTTGATAAAGAACTATTTCATATGACGATGTTATTCTGAAAGAACAAAAAAGAAAATTCCATTATATGCATGCACTTGATGGTTATTTTTTTTATTCAAATAATTATTAAAATCGTATTTTTATAAAAAAAAAAAAGAGAGATTCAATTATTTTAAACTTTCGAAAAGGAAAAATACGGGTTTTGAATTATAGCACGTGGTATGGATTTCAATGGAGTAAAGTTATAAATTATGATTTTCCACAATCAATTCAAAAACTATACACATACATATAAATACAAAAATACCTACTTGTCGTCTACTTGCTGATACAACATTATCAACAATTTCTAGTTTCCATTCAGCTTCACGAACATTCAATTGTCTGTTTTCAGCAAATCTAACTATTGGCAATATTCCATCTTTCTGGCCAAACTCCACAATCTCATCTTCACCATCATAATAACTTTTTTTAGTAGCATTTGAATAAAAACCAACAATAATACCTCTACTGCTACATCCACAGAATTGGCAGAACCGGTAGAACAGGCAGATTAGACGAAGCCATTACGTATATTATACGAATGATGATATTTCATATTTAAAAAGGTGAATATCAATTTTATTTGTTAAATATTCCACATTGATTTCTCTATTTATTATTAAAATGTTGACTTTAGAATATTATAATTTAATAGTAATTATAATAATAGTATTGTAAATATGAGCTCAATGTCACAACCATTACAACTTGCATAGAAGAATATTATGAAATAAATGAACCAGAAAACCATTACCATTGCAACCAGAAGATCAAGATTTCAATAACATTTCTAGAAATCATAATCATTATTGAAAATAACAATGATTAAACAAATTTATTATGGATTTTTTTATTGGAATGATTTTATTGATGATGAATTGGAAAACCATCGATTTGCAATACAAAAAAATTACCAAGACTACTCAGAATCAATCCACTGCTAAAAAGATTTACAAAAAGAGAATTGTTTCATTAATAATGATGTTGATGATATTGATATCATGTATTGATATCTTGAGTACAAGTCCTCCCAAAAAAGAAGATCAGGTACAGTTCTTAAATATTATTGAAATTAATGATGAGGAGAACAATTGTGAAATTTATCATAATAATTATTAAAATCAATGCACAAATAAGATCTACAATGTCAATAAAAATATAAAAAATAGCAATAATAATAAAGAAATGGAAAACGTATTTTTACATGGGTATTAGATGAATGATGATGATGAAATTGATAATTTTAATAATAAACATATTGATAATCTGGGAAGAAGATAATATTACTAATACATTTTCAAAAGACATTCATTACATAATAATAATATATGTACAAATTATATAGGTCATGTTACTCTAAGATAAACATGCCCTTTTTTGGTCTTATTACTTTTATTTTGAATTCCATTCTAAGCTTATATTATCCAAGTCAACAATGTTGGTTAGACGTCCATATCACTACTGTTTAGACTTGGACATTTATTTTAGACATACATATTAATATCCTTAAAAAAAAAAATAATAAATTCAAATATTTTAACAATTAATATGCAAGAACAAGTAAATCAACATTATCAAAATTATCAAAATCAATTATATGATGGTTGGGACATTTGATTACAAAAACACGTATTCATTATAATTTGATTTCCAATTAAAAATATATTATTATAAATATTACAAAAAAATCAGGGCTCAAAAACTTTAAAAATTGAAGATGACGATTCCTTGTTTAAACCTTTTTTTTACTTTTATCGACACATACACGTTCATATATTATAGAAAAAAACCCGTATTGGCTAAACATTTTCTATTATTGTTTGCCTTGGACGTTTTCTAAAAATCAAATATATATCAATCAATAATATCAATAATGGATAATAATAAAATAGTAATATCAGCTCACAATACTAAACGAGATCAAATTGCAAGCAAAAATTTGTTTTATGGTTGTAAGTTAAATAAAATATTTAAATTCACTATTATAAAAATGTGATTTTTTGCATAAAAGCTACTTTATAAATTGCCATCATTTTTCAATGCCGCGAATGATCTTTTATAAGACAGCTTTTCGTTATTTGGTAGCATAACATAATGTAAAATTAATATATTAACATTGATGTCACTAAAATGATCAATGATCCAAGACAACCACTTACTTGATCTTCAAACCATTGTCTAAGAAACTCATTTTATATGGAATTCTTGCCAATTATGCAACTAGTATTTTAATCCCGTGTTGGCATCTGGCCATTTGGCCAGCCAAAAAAAAAAGGCCAAAAGCGGTCAAGACTTTTTCGATAATTTGGTATAAGACTGTCACATGATTATATATATATATATATATTTGTTGGCCAAAACGGCTACTGTTTTAACCATCTAGAGTTTTAGAAGTTGCTACTAATATATTTGACATGGTTAGTATGTTCATTAACAGTACTGGCAATCAGCACGGACTTAAATATTTCTTTTTGATTGGTAATTAGGAAAAAAATTTTTTTAATTAGATTTTTTTTTTTTTTTTGCGAAAAAATATAGGTGGCTGATTTTTTCCAAATAGGACGAATTTGATTATCATCAAATTTTTTATTATTTTCTGTTAATAAATAAATAATCATGGGAGACACACTTTCACTTCGTGGTACACTTGAGGGTAAGGTTATTTATGAACGTTATGATAATTTATTGAAAGAATAATAATTAATTAATTGACTACTTTTATTAATTATGATTAATTTATTTAGGACATTCGGATTGGGTAACAGCTATTGGTAATTTTAATAATATTATTAATTGATTAATTAATATATTTACATACATATATATATATATATATATACACAAACAATTTGATTAGCTACAACGTCGGAAAACCCTGAAATGATTTTGTCTTCTTCTCGTGGTATGCATTTAACATGGATTTTTTTTTTCTTGGAAGACAAAATTCATCATTAATCAATCAATCAATCAATCTTTTCTTTAATGAAAATAGATAAATCCATTATGGTTTGGCGATTGACACGAGATGAACACAATTATGGAGTTCCTCGTAAATCCTTAACAGGTCATAATCATTTTGTACAAGATGTTGTAATTTCATCGGATGGACAATTTGCCTTGTCGGCCTCTTGGGATAAGACACTTCGATTATGGGATTTGAACACCGGAACAACTACTCGTCGATTTGTTGGACATGAGAAAGATGTCTTGACAGTTTCTTTTTCACCAGATAATAGACAAATCGTTTCAGGGTCAAGAGATAAAACCATTAAATTATGGAATACACTTGGTGAATGCAAATTAAATATTCAGGATGAAGGTCATACTAACTGGGTATCTTGTGTTCGGTTCTCACCAAATCCCTCCAATCCAGTCATTGTATCGTCTGGTTGGGATAGACTCGTAAAGGTGATTATTACTATTATTACTATTATTATGTATATTTGTGTGTGTGTGAGTTTTGACAGTGATGTTCAATTTAATACTTATAATATTTGCTACTTTAGAGAAATTAAATATATTTCAAAGAAAAAATTTAACCAGATCTGAGTCAAACACATATTTGTTTACAAATATATATTTATTATTTTGAAGAATTAACAAAAACTTATATAAATACAAATACAAATATAAATATACATACATTAATATTTACATATAGGTATGGGAATTTAGTGGCGGTAAATGCAGGCTTAAAACTAATCATCATGGACACTCTGGATATATTAACACTGTTACCATTTCACCAGATGGGTCGCTTTGTGCATCTGGCGGAAAAGATGGTATCACGATGTTATGGGATTTGAATGAAGGGAAACATTTGTATTCATTAGAAGCAAATGATATCATCATAAATGCTCTAGTGTTCAGTCCAAATAGATATTGGTTATGTGCTGCTACCACGTCTAGTATTAAGATTTGGGACCTTGAAACTAAAAAAGTTATTGATGATTTAAAGCCTGATTTTACGGAAACTGGTAGAAACTCGAAAGATCCCGAGTGTATCTCTTTGGCTTGGTCACCTGATGGCACTACACTATTCGCTGGATATACAGGTATAATTAATTGCTTGGTCTTGTATTATTATTATTATTTTTATTATTATTTATCAATAATTGGTAATAGTTTAGCTTTGGTTTCCTTTTGAATACGCGTCAGTTATCTACAAAGCCCTTAAATGTAACCTACAGAAATAGTCCTATTATTTGTAAAATTGTGCATACTAATACAAATGACATTACTCAATGCGGTTTTTACCTTTGTACTTTTTCCTCTTGTACATTGAAGTTTTGTGGATGAATCCGTACAGTCGCAAAATAGTTGGTCGTTATTGTTGAAACAATTTCTGCAGTTATCAATCAACATCACAATAACATCGGTATCTAAAAGGGTTAGAAAGAACACGATGATTAAATATCCAATAAAGCCTTTAAAACAAATATTCTTACATTCAGGGTACTTTTATGTATTGTGCGTTGATCGGAAGTCAATGTATATAAGGAAGAGTTGGCTTTGACAAAAAATTTCACTCTATAGTACAGTCACAAGTGGTGACTAAAAGGAGCTTTACAGAACAACTTTAACATCAACAAAAACTCATCATCAAACTTTAGTGATTCATTATGATTATAATGCATTCTTTTTTTTCTTTGTTTAGTAAAGCAAGCGGAATTCATATATAATCAAAGTAAATCGGGAAAACCTTCAACTTCCCTATATTGTACGATTTAATATAGTAGGTTCACTACATCAACACCAACTGTAGTTTGAAGCATCATTTTTTTGATTTTTCTAGAGAACCCAATCGCATGATTTTTTAATAATGCTTTTAAAATAAAATTTTTTAGCAACATGTTGTCAATTCGCAAATTTATCCCTTTTTTAAAATAATAATCTAAACAAATATTGCTTTGATAAAAATATACATTCGTATTGTGATTCAACAAATGGAGTCATCGTATTATTGTCACGAAAACCTTCACTCTACGAATCAAATTTGTTTTCAAAGCAGCAAAAAATAATCAATGCCTTTATGAAAAAACTTACCTGAATCAAATAAAGTCACCACCTACCCAAAAGTTTCGGTCACCCTAAATTGATGAATTGCGCAGAAGCGTACATAATAATTGCACAAAAAATTTATATTATTTTGATCCTAGATATCCATGTACTTAAATATAAAATTTTAGATTTCTAGCCTTTATACAGCTCAAATAATAATAAAAAAAACAAATTTCGATCATTTTTGTAAAGAAAAAAATTTGACATGAAAAATTTTAAAAACCTACATATTAACATATTATGAGATTTTTAGATGCGATAATCTAATTTCATCTAATTCTCAAGAAAAATTTTTTTACATTATTTTGGATGGTTTTTTTTTTAATAATTTTTTAAAGATTTGATAAAATCTTAAATTTCGTAAAATGTCTAATTTAACTGAAACTGAGCGTGGTCAAATTATTGACCTCCATATAGGCGGCAATTCAAAAGTGAAAATTAGCAAATTCTTGGATTTTCTAGAACAACAGTTACTCGAACTATAAAGAATTATGAAATAAGAGGTAGTGTCAAAGACTTAACTCGAAGTGGTCAACCAAAAACATTAAATAATGACCATCAAAAAGTATTGAAAGCAATTGTCAAACAAAACAACATTGAATCAGCTGAAATAATAAAAAAAGAATTTAATCAGAAAACTGGTCTGCAAATTTCAATTAACATGTTTAGAAGAAGCCTGCATGATCTTGGCATTTTTTCTTGTGTTCCAGCATGTAAGCCTCTTATTAATGAGGGACACAGACAAAAGCATATGGGTTGATGCTTAAGAAGAAAAGATTGGAGTGTAAAAAAATGGAAAAAATGTAATATGGAGTGATGAAAGCAGGTTCACCTTGTTTAGAAATGATGGCCCAGGTCATGTTTGGAGGACACTTGGAACAAGGTTTGATATTGAGAATCTAAGACCTACAGTCAAACACAGAGGTGGTAGTGTAATGTTTTGGAGCTGCTTTTCTTGAAAAAGGATTGGGTCCACTTGTAAAAGTTGATGGGAAAATGAATCAACATGATTACATTGAGATACTCCGATCTTATTGTTGCCATTAATAAACAATAGTTTTAATAATTGAGGTTATCTGTTCCAAGATGATAATTCACCAGTCCATACTGCCAAAAAAGTTAAAAAACAAACGAAATAAAAATCTTAGAAAGTTGTCCAAGCCAGTCCCCAGACCTAAATCCGATTGAACACTTGTGGAGTGAATTAGAGACTCGTATTCGAAAAACCTAAACCAGCAAGAAATTTCAATGAATTAGAGACCACTATGATTGAAGAATGGAATAAAATTTCATAACATTTACTTAAAATTAATTGAAAGCATGTCTTGTAGAATTGCAGAATGCATTGCAAACAATGGATGGCCTACTAGCTACTAATTGATAAGAGGCTTGCTGTTGAAAATTTAAGCCATTTTTAATTAAGGTTTCTGGTCCAAACTGTTTTCTCAAAGCCCAAACTAGTTTGGGCAATTTGGGCTTCTCAACATTTTCT